ACCCTTTTTGGTCTCGTATGGTTGATTCCTCCCCTTTTGGTCTCGTATGGTTGATTCCTCTCTTTTTGGTCTCGTATGGTTGATTGTTCTGATGGCACTGGCTCTGGGGGAGGTTCTCTCTGTCGGCTCTGGAGAAGGTCCTTGTGCTCTGAGCTCCTGCCCCTGGGTGGCCTTCGTGTGGCTTGGCGTCTCTGGTCCCCCATCTCTGCTTGCTGGCCCACTTCTATATCTTTTATATCTCGCCAGAGATTGACTTAAGACACACCCTACACTAATATGGTCTCATCGACATAACAAAACTCACTTCCAAATGAGATTACACCACAGGTGCAGGGGTTACGGTTTACAACCCCCATTTTGGGGGGACACAGTGCAGTCCGTAAAAACTGCTCTGACCTCATTACCCACAGGCCAACACTTCTTTCCAAACAGCCACACCCACAGATGCAGAGGCAGGACCTCAGTGGGTATTTGGTGGGGACATAATTCTCTCTTTAAAAGTTTCCCACTTGTATTCCAGCTGGGGGTCAGTACTTGGTTTACCATTCCAGGCCTTTCACGGTCAGGTGAGGGTTTTTAACCTCTGCTCAGCCTCTAGAGATTACAAGTTTGAAAATGGCAAGATGGAACCCAGAGACTACTACATTTAGTAAGATTTGCCTCTGAAAGATAATCACTTCATCCATCTTCCATTTCAGAAGCAGCTTTGAAATCCCTCCAGGAAAAGCTCTCATCACTAAGTAAGTTACTTGGTATACAGTCTTTTTATGTAAGAATTTGAAGCTCAACGACTTGTTGTAATTAGGCAAGACACTGAGCATTGGAAATTCAAAGAAATACAAGACTTTGTTCCTGCTCCTAGGGAGAAACTGGTATCTAACATGTAGTAATAAGACATGAAAAATTACATTAAGCAGTGTTTATACTCAACTCACTGCAATCAAGTCGATTCTGACTCATAAAGACACCCCCCCCGTTGGGTTTCCAAGGCTGTAAATCTTCACGGAAGCAGACTGCCTCATCTTTCTTCCATGGAGTGGCTAGTTGGTTTGAACCACTGACCTTTTGGTTAACAGCCAAATGCCTTAACCACTATACCATCAGAGCTCCTAGTGTTTATACTATTGTTAGATGCTGTTGGCTCAGACTCATACCATCTTCTGAACCTATGTACAACAGAACAACCCTACATACACCAGAACGAAACACCACCTGGTCCTGCCCCAGCCTCACATCCTCGCTCTACCTGAGCCCATCGCTGCAGCCACTGTGTCAGTCCATCTCGTTGAGGGCCTTCCCCTTTTTCATTGACCCTCCACTTTACCAAGCATGACATCCCTTCCCCAGGAAATGGTCCCTTCTGACAACGTGACCAAAGTAGGTGAGACGAAGTCTGGTCATTCTCGCTTCCAAGGAGCATTCTGGCTGCACTTTGTCCAGGACAGACTTGGCAGTCTATGGTACTTTAAGCATTCTTTGCCAACACCACAACTCAAAAGCATTGACTCTTCGGTCTTCCTTATTCATTGTCCAGCTTTCCCGTGCATGTGAGGCAACTGAAAACACCATGGCTTAGGTTAGCCATACCTTAGTCTTCAAAGAGTTTATACTAGACATACATAAATACATACAAATATGGAAGAGTGAGCCTTCCTTTGAGTCTGGGTGAGCTGAATTAGATTTGGTGCTTCAAACAGTTACCATGCTTGGCTGCTAAGCAAAAGATTGAGTCCACCCTGAGCCACCTCAGAAGAAAGTCTTAGTGATCTGCTTTGAAAAACTCAGCCGTTGATAAATGTCTTCTCTAGTGTTGTTATAACAGAAAGACCGCACATGGACGGCTTTAACAAATTAATTCTCTCACAATGTAGGAGGCTAGAAGCTCAAGTTCAGGGCACTGGCTCAAAGGGAAGACTTTCTTTCTCCATTGGCTCTGGAGGAAGGTCCTCGTCTCTTCTGAGCTGTTGTTCCTGGCCATCTTCATGTGGCTTGGCTTCCCTCTTCCGGTCTCTGCTCCGCCAGATTGTTTCATCTTTTATTTCCAAAGAGATTGACTTGAGATACACCCCACACCTTGACTCAAGATACATTCCGCCTCAAAGACAAAACAAAGACAACCCATTCCCAAATGGGATTAGAACCACAAGCACAGAGGTCAATATTCGCAGCACGTACTGTTGGGAGACCAAATTCAATCCAGATGGAGCTCTGGTGGTACAGTGATTAAGGTATTTGACTGCCAAGCAAAAGGTCGGTGGTTCAAACCCACCAGCCACTCCGTGGAAAGAAGATGAGGCAATCTGCTTCTGTAAAGGTTTACAGCCTTGAAACCCAATGGGGGTCACTATGAGTCAGAATCGACTTGATGGCAGTGAGTGGGGTTTGGAATTCAATCCATAACCAAAGCCCTATGGGACACGATTCTGCTCTGGCCCGTGGGGTCACCATGAGTCATTGGCACAATGGCAACTGGTTTTTCTGGTTTGGGATATTGTGTGTTGCCATCAAGATGATTCCAACTCATGGTGACCCCATGTGGGCAGAGTAAAATTCAAGACAGTGGCCTTTCAGAAGCATGTCACCAGGCCTGTCTTCTGAGGCACCTCTGGGTGGTTCAAGCTGCCAACGTGTTGGCTAGTAGTTGAGTGTTTCACTGCTTATGCCACTCAGAGACCCTGGTTTGGACTTTAGATTGACCTAAAAACTACAACAACAACAAGAATAGTTTTCATGTTTTTCAAAATGGTTGGGGGGAAAAAACAAAGCCTATATATATCATGACCTGTGAAGATTGCACAAACACCCACCTTCAATGTCTGACAAAGTTGTTTGAACAGAGTCCTGCCTGTCTGCTTATAGTGGAGCTTTTGTGCTGCGTTGGCAGAGGTCAGTCATTCAGAGATCACGGGGCCTGCGACCTTGCCCTTTGTTAGGTGGGGTCTGCTGTCCTAACCCCTGGCCTGAAGGATTTGGGGGCTCATGAGCCTCAACATTTTCTTCCCTTGGTTTCACCACAATACTTTAGAATATGACACGGGCTCAAGGCAATGGTAAATCGGGGAACAGTGTGGAAAGCCCCTCTACACCCATTCGTACACCGCCCCCCTGGAAAATCAGCCTGCCTCCACCAGTGCACAAAATGGTAAAAGTCCCATAGCAGTGACTTATATGTCACACGTACATAGGCAGTGTGAGATCTGACATTTGGTGATGCTTTAGGAAATTACTTTGCCACATTGGGGTATTCAATAAAATATAAAATTCTGCTGTAAACTCACTGCCGCCGAGTCAGATCCAACTCACAGCGACCCCTCCTTGGGTTTCCGAGGCAGTATCACTACGGAAGTAGATTGCCCAACCTTCCTTCCGAGGAGTGGCTGGTGGATTTGAACCACCAACCTTCTGGTTAGCAGTCAAGTGCCTTAGGCACTGTGCCACCAGAGCTCCTAATACCACCACTACCCTTCTTCATTTTCTTCAGGGATGATGGGAACTGAAGAACCAAAACATTCAAAGTTGGAAGAAACAGAAGACCCATTAGGAGAGCCAGGTTGGTCTTAGACCATCGAATGTTGGCCAGGCTGATGGAGTACACCCTTCCCTGCTGCCGCCTGCCTCTCCTCCCCAATTTCTACATCCTCATGTGGCTGCGTCCTCCCTGTCTGTCTCTTCTGTGTCTTTCTGTGTCCAAATCTCCCTCCCCTTTCCCTTTATAAAGACACCACCAATTGGGTTTAGGGCCTACCTTACATCCAGGATGATATCATCTCAATGATCTATAACTAATTACATCTGCCCAGACCCTATTCCCAAATAAGGTAACATCCTGAGGTTCCAGTTGGACATGAATTTTGAAGAACATTATTCAACCCACTGTAGTATCTACTATAAATACTTTATTTGACTAACATTTTGTTCTTGGCATTGAGGATTCACAGATAACAAAGACATGAACATTGTTCTCAGGACTTTATGGTCTGGTACGAGAGAGACGTGTGTGAAAAAGTGTAACACAGTGTAGAAATTGCTACAACGCCATGTTGAGCTTTGATTGTATAGTCATTGTTAGGCCTGTACAGGGTAGATCACCATGTCACTTGGTTTAGACATCGTCTGTCCTGTTGATCACGTCTCCTCAGACACAGCCATGTACATAATGTGAACAGAGAGTTAAGATCAGACTCTGAAATCCTTGGAGCCTGCTTTGTCGTTCTTCTGATAAAGGAAGTACAATTATTTTTGTAGAAAGCCTACTCTCTCTCTTTTTTTTTCTTTGTAGAGCTTATGCAGGTAGAAGAGGATCTCATAAACCTAGAAGCAGACATGTGCGTGGTAAAAAGGAGGCTAGGTGGGTATGGTATCTTCCTGGACTGAGTTGGGTGTTGGAGTTGTTCTTTGTAAACCTCACTTTCTTTTCCCCCTAATGAATAACCAACTGTACCCCATCTTTCCCCACCTCATATCACTGAAGGTAAAAGTGATAAGTATAGAATTATATTGAAGGAGAAGTTTCGGCAAATGTGGAAGGCCAACTTTAACCCTGGAGCCATGGCAGACTTCCATATTGTCACCCAGAGATACAAGCCGCTGATCCCGTTCTGTGATCCTAAAACACTTATGGGGCCATTTCCATCCACTGTGGTGCTGCTTGGACCTGCTGGTGTTGGGAAAAGCACACTGGCCAAAAAGGTGATGCTAGACTGGACAGAGAACAACCTCGCAAAGACATTCACATACGTCTTCTATCTCCGCTGCAAGGAACTCAACAAGATGGGGCCGTGTACTGGCGCTGAGCTGATTACCAAGGACTGTCCAGAGTTGAAGGACAGTGTTCTGAGGGTCCTAGCTCAAGCACAGAATGTCCTGTTCATCATTGACGGCTTTGATGAGCTGCGAGTCCCCCCCGGGGCACTGATCCGTGATTTATGCAGCGACTGGGAGACGCAGAAGCCAGTGCCCATCCTCTTGAGCAGTTTGCTGAACAGAACCATGTTCCCCAGAGCAACTCTCATGGTCACCACCCGGCCCTGGGCGCTGAGGGAGCTGCGCTTCTTGGTGGAACGTCCACTCCTCATAGAAATGGAGGGCTTCCTGGAGGTGGACAGGAAGATGTATTTCCTGAAACACTTCCAAGATGAGGACCAAGCCCTGCAAGCTTTCAACTCAATGAGGAGCAATGAGGCCTTGTTCAGCATGGCCTCGGCACCCATGGTCTGCTGGGTCATCTGTGCTTGTCTGAAGTCGCAGATGGAGAAGGGCGAGGACCCCACGCCCACCTGCCAAACCACCACATCACTGTTCCTGCGTTTCCTCTGCAACCAGTTCACCCCAGGGTCTGAGAGCTGCCTCCAAGCCCCAGTCAAGGCTCTGTGTCCCCTGGCGGCTGAGGGTGTGTGGACACAGACGTCTGTGTTTGATGGAGAAGACCTGGAGAGGCTTGGGGTGAAGGAGTCTGAACTTAGTCCTTTCCTGGAGAAGGACATCCTTCAGAAGGACAGATACCACGAAGGCTGGTTCTCCTTCATCCATCTCAGTGTCCAGCAATTCCTGGCCGCCATGTTCTACGTTGTGCGGAGCAAGGAAGATGAGGAGAGTCACAGCGGGGACATTGGGAGTGTACAGGAGCTGCTCTCCACAGAACAGACTTTAGAGAACCCCAGCCTGACCCAGGTGGGATACTTCTTGTTTGGCCTCTTGAACGAAAGCAGAGCCAGGCAGCTGGAGACGACATTTGGCTGCCGCGCGTCACTGGAGGTCAGGCGGGCATTGCTGGAGTGGTGCCTGAAGGCTGGCGGAGACGGTCCCTTCTCGGTGATGGACGTGAAGGAGGCTTTGTTCTGTCTCTATGAGTCTCAGGAGGAGGCGTTTGTGGGAGATGCAATGGCCCATTTCAAGGAGCTGTTCCTCGACTTGAGAAGCGAAACGGACATTGTATGCGCTTCCTTCTGTGTCAAGCATTGTCGAAATCTGCAGAAAATGTCACTGACGGTGAGAAGAAGAACGTTTGGGGAGACTGAGCCTCCCTTGGAGTCAGACGCTCAGGCTGAGAGGTAATTTACCTTCATCCTTGGTCCGCCCATCTTTAGCCCCCTCCCATGTTCCATAGGGATGAGGTGGGGTCTTCTATTCCCTTGGTGTTGGAAGTTGGCATTGGGTCAATTCAAACTCATGGAGCTTCTGTGGGTGTGGGTGTGGAGTGCAGAGCCCCCATGGGTGAGGAGCATGGAGGCCTGGTGGGTGTGGTGCAGAGCACGGAGCCCCCATGGGTGCAGAGCAGAACCGCTCCCATAGAGTTTCCAAAGGCTACAAATTTGCTGATTCCCAGGCTTGCCTTCTAAGGCACCTCTGGGTGGATTTGAGCCTCCAGCCTTCTGGACATGGTCAAGCACTTTGCTGTTTGCAGCACCCAGGGCCTACCTCCTTTTCCTTTGGATTCATAGTTTTCCCTGGACTTTTTGTCTGCTTCACACTCAAGATGGGGAGTGTGTTGTGATTAGAAATGAGGACTTTGGGGCCAAGCCTTGTTTTCAGCCTTACTCTCTTTTCATTTATTTTATAGTTAGCCCCACGTTTGTCACATGCACAGTTCAGTGACGTCAGTCACACCTGCCTCGCTGTGCAACCATCACCAGGGCCTTTCCCGAATATTCCACGTCAAACACTCAGTGCTTCCTAGACGAGAATCCTGCCAGGTCCCCTCCCTCCCATCCTGGTGACCACTGTGCTCTGAGCTCTACATACTAGCCTTTCAGTAAACTTCAGAGGAGCCATGGTGGTGCAGCAGTTAAGGCTGTTAACCAAAATGTGAGGAGTTCAAACCCACCAACTGCTCCACAGGAGAAAGATGAGGCAGTCTGCTTCCATAAAGATGACAGCCTTGGAGACCCTGTGGTGGTGCAGTTCCACTCTGTCCTCTAGGGGCGCTGTGAGTCGGAATGGACTCCACGGCAGTGGGTGTGGTTTGGGCTTTGCTTCTGTGAAGACTGACGGCCTTGGGAACCCTGTGGTCCAGTTCCACTCTGTCCTCTAGGGGCGCTGTGGGTCAGAATGGACTCCATGTGGCAGTGGGTATGGTTTGGGCTTTGCTTCTGTGAAGAATGACAGCCTTGGAGACCCTGTGGGCAGTTCCACTCTGTCCTCTAGGGACGCTGTGGGTCAGAATGGACTCCATGGCAGTGGGTGTGGTTTTTTGGTTCAGACGAAGATACGGCACTTCAGAAAAATGTGCTTGACTGGGATTAGTCCTGGGGTCTGTTCTGTTACTTTTACTTTATTGTGGTGTTAGTTTTTTGGTGGTGAAATGTATACAACAGGTTTGCTATCTTAACCGTTTTTACGTGTGCAAGTCCGTGACGTTAATTACAGTCCCCCCAGTTATGCTACCGTCTACTCTCCGTTTTTTTAAACCACTGCAAACAAACTCAGTTCCTCTTTAGCAACCTCCCATTCCCTCTACCTCCCAGCCCTGGAAACCACTCATACACGTGTCTCTATGCAGGGGTATTGGTTTTGAAAGTCCTGTGGTCAGAGTCAAAGTCACTTCCTTGTGGTGACACACGGTGTCCCCCATCATGACAGATACCACTCATCAGCTCACCCTTGCTCATCCTTCGCTGGTTCCATGAGATCCTTATGTACGTTCGTTTACTGAGCGGAATAGAATACTTTCTTTTATTTCCTCTGAGATCTCTGCTTCAACTGCTCCCTTCCCTCCAGGTTCCTCATCACTCGTTAGAGAGTCATCAACTCGAGTGCCTCCCGGGCAGTGTTAGGAGCTGGTGACAGTTGCCATGGAGACGATTCTGACTCGTGGCCCCCCACGTGTGCAGATTAGAACTGTTTCCCTCGGGTTTGCAGGGCTGGGACCTTTCAGAAGCAGACCACCGGGCCTGTCTGTGAGGTGACCCCTCAGGACTCCAACAGCCAGTTTTGGATAGCAGGCGAACGCTTAACCGTTAGTCCCACCCACAGGCTCCACGAATACTGTAGCTTCGTTAATTTCTCTGCCTCCCAGGTAACCAGCAGTCCAGAGACCTTGCCCCTTCTTACATAGCCTGATATTTCATTTCTTCTTCTCATCCGAACATTTAGACATACCTGCAGACTAGTTGGGCGCTCTGGTGGCGTAGGCCTAAGGCATCTGACTGCTAACCAGAAGCCTCGCGGTTCAAACCCACCAGCCACTCCTCTGAAGGAAGATGGGACGATTTACTTCTGTAGAGATACCACCTCAGAAACCCAAGGAGGGGTCGCTGTGAGTCGGTACCGACTCGATGACAGTGAGTTTGGTTTGTTGTTGGTTTTGTTTTTGCAAACTAGTTGATCTAAATCCTCTGTGAGAGGAAAATTTGACATGTATTAAATAAAGAATTTGCAAAATAACTTCATGTTTTTTCCATTGAAGATTCCAAGCCACTCCAGTCTATCTGGTATTATAACCTTGTGTTAATAAATTGAACTTTACCCCCCAAGAAATATGTCTTGTAAGTTCTAACTCCTGTAACGAGCCCTGTGGCGCAATGGTTAAGTGTTAGGCTGCGAACTGCAAGGTTGGTGTTTGAAACCATGCAGAGACTCCATGGCAGTTTGTACCCATAAAGATTACAGCCCAGGGAGACCCTATGGGCAGTTCAAATCTGAGTCAAAAATCCACTGCACGGCCCCCAGCAATCATGTACCTATTGGTGTGATCCCATCTGGGAACAGGGTTTCCTTTCATGGTGATAAAGACATACTGGTGTAAGGTATGTCTTAAATCTAGTCACTTCTGAGACACAGGAACTGCGGGTTAGGTACAAAGGGGTGGGGGACAGGGACAGAGCACTGTTCCCCAGAGTCACCAAAGTCAAGGCCACTGCCATCCAGTCAACTCATAGCAACCCTATAGGACCCAGGAGAACTCCCCCATGGAGTTTCCAAGGCTGTAATCCTCATGGAAGCAGACTGCCTCATCTTTCGCCCGCAGAGCAGCTGGTGGTTTGAGCCACCGACCTTTGAACAAGCAGTCAAGGGCTTAACCACTGGTCCATCCAGGCTCCTCCTGCTGAGGGTTAAAAAAAATAATAAAAAAAAAAAACAGACTCACTGTTGTCAAGTCGTTTCCAACTCATAGCGACCCCTCCTTGGGTTTCCGAGGCTGTATCACTATGGAAGTAGATTGCCCCATCTTCCTTCCGAGGAGTGGCTGGAGGGTTTGAACCACCATCCTTCTGGTTAACAGTCAGATGCCTCAGGCACCGTGCCACCAGAGCTCCTGTGTAGGTAGTGGCTTGGTTTCCTTGACAAGATGGCTTGTTAACACCAAAATGAGTGTGTGTTTCTGATCCTAACCAGTCTTCCTATTTCCCTCCAGAGTATGAACCGTGCACTTTGAAAAGTCTGTAACCACTTTTTTCCTCTAATGGGGCTTCAAGATTTAAAGTAAGAACGTTTATTTTTAATGTAACCTTGATCAAACCACACGCAACTCGTAAAACCAAAGGCCTGACCTGAGGACAGGAAGGGGCTCTAGATCTGAGAAATGGGTCCCGTCTGATTTTCTTTTTCCCCCTGTCTCAAATCACAAACATCGAGTTTGTGTAGACTTTATATTCCATCATCTCTGCTAATGAAACTTCTAACCTTAGGGAAAGACATTGCCATAGGGTTGACTCCAACTCACAGGGACCCCATGTCTGTAGCAGTAAACAGAATTGCCCTCAATAATGTTTCCAATGAGTGATTTTGGGGGGCTAGGCCAGGCCTTTCTTCAAGGTGCCTCTGGGTAGGTTCAAGCCATGCACCTTTCAAGTAGTGGCTTAGCCCTTAACCACCTACTCTGGGCTGTTTGGAATGGTGGGAGGATGTTTGCATTGAATCCAATTGCTCTTCCATAGTGTCCAGATAGAGTGTCCAAACTCACTGCCATCAAGTCAATCCCAACTCATAGTTGACCCCCGTTGGCTTTCCAAGGCAGTAAATCTTTTTTTTTTTTTTATTTATTTTGATTTGGGTGAAGATTTACAGAGTAAATTCACTTTTCATACAGCAGTTCACATATACTTTGTCTCATGTCATTGACCAAAATTTACAATGCAGCAGCTCCCCTCCCACTTCCTCCCCATAGTTACCTCCTCCCAGTGTCCATCCCTCCATACTCTTCTGCGCCCTGAGCTATCTCCCTGTGCATAAGCAGCCCTTCCTTCTCCCATGATTATTCTCTCCAGGGCGTGTGTCTACTTGAGGTAAATGTTGAACTCACATACCTGTACTTTGTTTGGCTGGAAACCACAGTTGTGGGTTCAATTCCAGACCTGAAGGGCAGCTAGGGGCCATAGTCTCAGTGGTTACACCAGGCTCTATTGGACCAGCAAACCTGGTCCCCACCTTTTTTTTTTTTTTTCCAAGGCAGTAAATCTTGATGGAAGTAGATTGCCCCGTCTTCCTTCTGTGGGGCAGCTGGTGGGTTTGAACCACCAGCCTTCTGGTTAGCAGTCAAGTGCCTTGGGCACAGAGCCACCAGGCGGAGGGCTACTTGGAGCCTCCAATAATCTTGTTCTTCTGCAGGAGACACTGCCCTTCATTAGAGCCGAGGGGGTGGAAGGGCCAGAGACAGGGATGGAAAAGGGTCTCATTGTTTTTGGATAAAATTCCAGACTCTGGAAACTGACTGTGTTTTTTTCAATATTGTGTTTTGATGAACTTTAGGTTCCCACTCAACATTTTCTCCACAAGTCACTCAGTGACATGGGTGCCTTTCTTGACAATGAACACGCTCATTAGTTCCGTCCCGGTGACTCCTTTTCCTTTCACCTAGTTTCACTGCCTCCTTCCATTCTCATCTTCATTTTAAAGTAATCAGTGAACGTTTTTCTCTTTTATAGGTGATTTTTTTTTCTTTGAAGGAGCTCAGTATTCATAGATGATATTCTTTATTTTATGCACCAATCGGTTATATAAAAGGTGACCTCAGGTTGGTGTCAGTTCAAGGTTGAAAGAGTGTCTCAAGGTAATAGTCTTAGGAGTCCTCTAGGTTCAACCTGTGCAGTAAGTCCGGTGGCTTGGTTTGGTT